TTTTCACGATAGAGGCAGTGAGCACCTCGCTTAGAAAACATTCCTTGAAATATACTTCGACAAAGACAACTTTAAAAGTGGCACTGAAATATGATAGATCTCATTCAATAACCTGCGACGAGAAGAATACTAAGAAGAACCGAAACAACTCTGTAAGAACTGCTTCATTTTAAATGTTATCGATAAACCGCACCTACTGAAACTTGATTTCATTGGACTGTAAAGTAATATTTCACACAACAACGGAGATAAAAATACACAATTAATTTGTAATGCAAATCAAAATTTATCATTTAAAATTTTCCTACTTATTGGTAACATTTTATCTTACACTAACTGTTTTTCTGCGACTTCGACCCGCGTATAATATAGCTTTTTATGATTATGAATTTTTAAAATCAGTCCATAAGTTTTGGAGCCCATTCAACACAAAAAAACCATCAAATCTTGTGAAGATAACAAATCCTACAATTTGTATAAAGGGAATTATGATAACCTTACATGTAATGAGCTAGTATAAATTAAATAAGAAAATAATACAGAACTATATAATTACAAAAACAAGTTTGTTGTGCTTTAAAATAATTTTTTGATTAGGTGAAAGATTTTATTATTAATGATATTCAAGATTATAATATAAAGTTAAACGCAACGTTTGCTTACATTGCAGTATCAATTAAAGATTATGATCTTACTAAATAAGTAGACGGTTTTTCTGCCTTTTGTCTTATCATTCATTAATTGATCGTTACGAAGACAGAGTGTTAAATATGATGTTAAATCTAATTACTCATAAAACAAGTATAATAAAGTGGTAAACTTTGTTTTTTTGTAGGGGTAATCTTAGATTTCCTAAGACGCACTAAGACTAAGAGGGGGGCATAGGGGGCGGTCCGCCCCGGGCCTATTGTCCTGAGGCTACAATTTCCCTTGGTTAAATCATAAATCAGGGTTATGCTGCCTATTTTTCTTATGTCTAGTTTCTAGTTTTAGAAGGCGTCTTAGCAGGAGGGGGGTGTGAACGCAATATCAAATTTCTACTCCGGTTGGTAAATGTTGCAGGTCCGAGTCTGATGCCGCCCCAGGCCACCGACGAAGTTAGCCAATGCGATCATATTGAACCGATCATTAATATTCTTTCACCTGCGGGAAGCTACATCATACGCAGGTGACACTGGCTATAATTTATACGGGCGAAGCGCTGGAAAACAGCTACTAAATAAATATAACATACATTTCTCAGATTCCAAGGTGTTGCGTGTCGCGTTGCTAGAGTTTCAATCAACCAATTAACATTTGTGTTGAGTAATCTGACTGATGAACTGACATAATTTTAACTTATTGTGGGTCAGTAACTGTGTTTTTAACTGACTTCAAGGAAGGAGGAGGTTTCTAAAATGTGTGCTGGCCTGGCAATGTGGCAATTAAACAGCTTAACTAATTGTGTAATACAGGTACAAGCCTTTGGTTCATCATCATCATCAGCCTTTTAACGTCCCCACTACAGGGGCTCGAGTCTTCCTTATGGGTAGTTAATGGTTAAAGAGGATCGGCCATAGTACTCCACGCGGAATGGAGGGTATTATCAAAAGCATATGCATTTAGTACCAATGCCTTAACATTATAGCCACCGAGTAGCACAAGATAATTTTTTTTTGGTCACCCATCCCATAACCGACCTTTGGGAAAGTTGCTTAGCGACAACTATCGCGGGCCGCTTATGCACCATTCCACGACCTAGTCTTTAGTTACAAATAATTTATTGCGATGTACACGGAAGACGTGTCCACATGTAACGTTTAGTTAGCACAGTAGATTATTGGTTTCAACATGGTTACTTCCGCGGTTAATAATACCTACATTTAAGCGGATGTGCGTTTTACAACATAGAATGTGTCTTGGAAATGTTATTTCATCGTTACCGCAACGTATGCATGCGCGAATTCGGCCTGCTGTTAACTTGGTAAAAATTATAATGTGCAACTTATTATAACTATCAATAACTTTTCTATCCTATAAAATCTTCTGTAAACTTTCTTTCATTCTTTATGACAATATTTAAAGATGGACGTCTACAAGAATGTAACCGATAGGATTAGAGGAACGGTTAAAAATATAGGAAATCAAAAAACAAAAATTTTGAATAGTGTTTGTTCAGGCTCCAACCTCTTGATTTATTGAGTTCTTCTTTTATTTTCGTTTCTCGGATTTATTTTATTTTTTGCACATATTTTACATAGTTGTGACCATTGTCGCATCTAATATTTTTCTATTATTTTACTGACGGATTAAATCAAATTTATGCATTATTATAAAATCATAAACGTCCGATCCGCTTATAACGAATTAATAAATATTGCCGATTAAAATAAAAATTAAGAACGAACAATAATAAGATAAACGATATGTAAGTAGTGATCCTCGAACAAATTGTGTTATAAATCCAACAACTCAAATGTGAAAGTCGGACAAACATAATTAGGAAGAATTCCTGAATTCTTCATTGCACCATACGTCCACTCCGTCTATCAGAAATGCGTTACTAGATTCCTAATTGCAGTATAAACATACTTCGTCCATCAGAAACTAGTTACGCTCGCTTCTTCGTTGATTAGATATTGCGTAACATGACGTGAGGTAACAGCTCGTTTTTGTAACCTGCTAATTTTGTTTTGATAGGTGTTGGCAAGAAAAAGTATTGGCCGGTTTTTGCATTGGTAAAAAAGGAACAAAATCATTTTAAGTACATCGTATAATAATACAAGCTTATATTGTAGCCGATTCAAGTTACTATAGCTCTATAAATAGATGAAAAAAAATTTGCCCGAATTTTATAGCCACAAATTTTTTTAAACGGGGATTTCGTTTATTTTGCACACTATAAATTGTCATTCAATATGTTGTGGACTGTTTTGTCGTCTGTCCTGCTCTAATTTACCTTTTTTTATATACACTAGAGTGGAACAGAGTATCATGAAGTGCGCGATACATCGTCCTAGCTTGGCTAACTATTTTGACGTCTATCTTACTCTAACTTGAGGATTTTTAAAACCGTAGCGTAGGATATTCCGATCATTGAACTGCAATATTGGTAATCTTAGTCACAATATTAATCTAGCAACAAATTATAAACCAATACAAAAGTATTGTTATTTTAATGTAACAAAAAGGTAATTTTTAATGTTATTAAATTTAAATTTTGATTATTATGTTTTATCGACTTTGCATTGACAATGCTATTTATATTGATAAATATCTTGAAGAAATATGCTTAAAAATCTATCTTGCTTATACATTTATAGCTGCTATAAGATTCAGCGCGATAGATAAAGTTTTCGATCAGCAAATTATAATTTCCCTCAAACAATTGCATGCACAGAGTAGCATTCGGTTAAGTAAACTTAAACGACATTGCTTTAAAATAAAATACATTTGTTGAGGTATTTATGTAGGTACATTTTCTACAATACGTTCACCTAGTAGATAAAACAAGTATGTAGGAATGACCTCGATAATTCTTATCTGTGTAATTACAACGTTTGAGACAAACAAAAAACAAAAGCAGTTTTGCAATTTTAGTACTTAAGTTTCACTATTACAGTTAATTTAAGGAATAACTATAAATCTCCTTAAATCTTCTTTAGAGTACATAAAATTGAGAAACTTTACAGGGAAAATGACCTTAAAAATTGATATTGAGTGACGTTCCTTACCATACCAATTTTTTAATTGTAATTTTGTCGATATAATAAAGACCATCTTAAAACAATGGCAAACGTAAAAAGAGTACATAAGAAATTCTTAAAAAATAATTTAAGATAAATAAGAATATACAGGTAGCGATTACTTTGTCTAAACACTGAGATTCGATATTGTTAATAGTGGCCGCATTGCTTATAATTCCGAGAGCGGATATACTGTTCTTCACGAACAAACATTTATTAACTCAAGATTTATTGGACGGCAGCTAATGTCAGTGATAACATTGAAGAAGAGAAACGCTTAATAATGAGAACGCTAAATACGATAAAAGTAGTGTTAGTGACGAGGAATCGTGTTGCGATAATACCAGCCCCTTAATAAAAACACTAGCTCGGTTATTGGACGCCTTATCAAGCGACTAAGTCCGCCCCAAATTGGGCAAGCAAGACTTATAGGCAAAGTTTGGTACGCAACGAATAAAAGATAATGAAGATTCCGATTAGATAAGTGCGGTAAACATCCAGTTGTAACTTGGTTAGTTCGGTGATAGTGAGGTTTCGTAATGTATACTCATAACGTTAAACAGTTATGACCCTGAAGATTGGGGCTGTAAAAACTAATTCAAACGACCATTATAGAAATTTCGATATGTTTCCCAGCTACCGTACAACATAAATATTTGAAATCTAAAAATTTGCGAACTACTTATTTTTCATCGTCAAATTCACACTATATTTCAAAATATGTTTTTATCATATTATAGGAATATCAAAAAATTCAAAGAATATAAAAAAATCGGTAATGGGTATCTAAAGATCATCTCGAAAATGAAATTCAATTTTTATTGAATTTCTAAACCAATGTTTGTTAAGCGTTTTGAGCTAATAAAAGTAATATTAAGGGAGCAAGACCCTTAGAAAACGGGAGGAAATGAACGCGACGAGAGAATGAAATTGGAAAACTTGTCCCAGGATTGCTTGTGATGAAAAAAGAAAGTAAATAAGGTCTGAGGGAGTTAGTGGAACAAGAAACGGTAGTGTAGAACCGAACTTTTGTTTACCTGGGGGTGAAATATTCTTATTATGTTTCCGACATAACAACTTGAGAATGAATAATGCAGAAACACATCGTTAAGAATAAAATGGTTTATAAAATCTAACCGCTAGTGAATTATTTACACTTTTTATGAATGGAAAACTTTTTAAGATCTACAAAATAAATATTTGTAAAATATCTGTAGTAATGTAGAGTATAATAAAAGACATTAGCGAGCAAACACAAAATATATCAAAACTCACCTCTTATTCCAATTGCCGATTTCAGCGTATCGACGACCGTTTGAACATCCGTTCCTTCTCACTTCATTTCCTTTAAACGTCTGTACAGAATTCCCGTTAGGAGTTAATATTCCGTTCGAGGTGTTATTGTTCCGCTCCCTGTTCCTCGGGAAAGTTCCGGTGCCTGATCGGAACGTGGCGAGGTGGGGAGTTTGTTCCGCGTCTGGCGTAAACTGCTGTAGCGGAAGCGTCCCGTTCCCGCTCCAACTCTTACGATTGACAGCAAAAGTTTTGAATGTTCCGTTGCCGTTTGTCGGAGAGGGTGTGACTCCACAAAAACTGCTTCTGTTGTGGCTGTTCTTGATAAACGCGCTGTTTTGCAGAGCCACTTGAGGCTTGATCGGTACCAGTGGCGACGCCTGGTCAACGGACATCGTACTTTATTAACTGTGCTACTGATCTATCTACATTTTTGTCTGGAAAGGAAAGAAACAACTAATTTAACTCGAGGCTTGCAAAATCAAAGTTCGGTACAACCATCAACAGACTCCCTTTATATTTCAAAGAATTGCTAATCAATCAATCAAGTTCGACGTGTAAACAAATTAGTCGAGTGACATAGCAACCTACGAAATTGTAATGAAAAGTCCAGCGGACAATAGGGTTCAATTTAGGTTAATGGTTCTGCGAGTTTAACTGAACCGATTGGTAAATGCACAATCATTAAAGATAACTATAGTTATGTGTCTTTGGCAGCTGAAAAAGCTCATATTCCAAAATACCAATCTTTATTTTTATATAGACTATATTTCTTGCATACATTACTACGAAATCGTCGGATTATAGAATTAATAATTGTTCGGTACTAAACCATTACCCGTGTTTAAACGCGTAAAGCAAATCAAACAAAATAAGTATCTGTCTCACAGTCACCTATTAATTAAAAATAATATAAACTCACAGTATAAGTTATTTCAATATTTAAATTTAGTACTGTGTGGTCAGCAAACAATAAAGCTTTAAGATAAGAATCCGAATAGCAATGAGCAATTTTATCTCGGAAAGGAAGTGAACCAACGAGTTCACAACAAGAACCTTATTTATAAAAACTAACCGCCCGCTCATCAACAACGAATGCGAGTTTTTGCGTCGACGTTCGTTACACTCAGTGGGCTATCCTATAACGTTTTGAATTATAAAACAATCAATCTTTACCGAGAAGACAAGCGTTTGGTACTTGATACAAATTTATTAACTTCAAAGAATTAACAAAAATCGTTACGTTGTAATAATTGAAGGCCTTACAGACAAAAGTTTTGTTTTTAGATTCAGATGGTGCAATTAAAAGGCTCTGTAAAGATTTTAAAATTAAAAGCGAAAGCAAAATTGTACACAGTTACCAATTCAACGAGACTACACTATTCAATTGTACAATACACTATTTTATTTCTTATTATGTTATACCAGAATCTTTATAGTTTTAACAAAAATATCTATACAAGTCCCGTTTTCTAAGACTGCATAATAGATTAAATAAGCAACAGTGGTGCCATACTAGGAAAGATAATTGAGTAAATAAATAAATGGCTGATAGAACTTAAGACAAATATATAATACTAAGATGATAAAAGACAAATTAGAATAAATAAACCTTACACCCTACACTACAAACCAATGAGATTCGTAGCAGCGTCTACACGTTATTTGGTATATGATGTAGAATGATTTTTAGTATTATGATTAACAAACTGAATCCAGTAGGTACAAAAGATACGAAAATTTCTAAAAGTATAATTAAAAAAATCTTCAGAAGGGTTTTATCAAGCAAATCATTATAATATGTGTAGTATGTGTATGAAAATCGACTAATATATTAGATAATGTAGCTACCGATACGTTCCCAGTTTAATTACTGTAATAGTTTGCGGTCAATTAACCGACTTATGCTGTATTTAAAGAATTATAATGTTAATGCATTGGAAATTTCCTACTACCGGTTCAGAAGCTTATGAGTCATGACCATACTAACGGTGAAATATGTGAAAAATAAGTCGACTCAATTATTTTCACGCCTGTATCGTAGCTGATATGTATTTGTTATTTTATAGTTTCTTTTTTTTTGCGTTTTACTATAATGCTTTTATAATTTACAATTTAATCTACGTAGATCATAATGTTATCTAATCTAAAATAAATCTAAATTTAAAATTGTTTAGTTGCGCACATAAGTAGCAAGATATAATCTAAGGTAGCAAGGTTAATTAATGTTAGTGAATTAAAACGAATATAATATTACTGGATCTTTATACATGAATACGTTTTATAAAAAAAACCCTGTCTCTTGAATATACACTAAATATATTTGGATATTATCAATATTACATATGGTACCTAATATATAAAATAGTCTTAATTAATAATGTTTAAAAAACCCAGGAACTCTAAGATGAGACTTATCTGATCTCTAAATTAAATTTTACTATCAAGTATATTGAAGTTTAATAAACAGAAAATCAAAGAATTAAATCCAAAAGAGGAACAAGAAGGTAGTCATAACATGCTAAATACATATGGTAGCGGATAATTTAGATGCTCGTCAATTTTTTTGCGCTTATCGTAGCGAATACCAAGATGATGGAACAATAGGAGACAACATGCCTAACGAGCATGTTACGTAAACATCTATTATACAACGAGTCGACGTCGACCGATCTGCATTGGGTCAGAGAGACTGACCTCGATTGCACATTGCTACAGCTGAACAGCTATCACAGTTACAAGCTAAAATGAGTCCAAATTAAAAATGTAGTATTGAGAAAATTGAAGCAAACGGAGATCTCATTAGAGTTGTTGATGCGTTGACTTACAAATGTTGTTGTCTTTGGCGTTGAAACGAAACTGCAGATTTGATTTACATTTAAGCTAAGATATGATTTTACTTTTTATATTCTAATTTATGGTTCACTGGGAACGCAGAAAGAAGATGGAATGGTTACGAAAATATTTTTTAAAATCAATATTGTCACATAACTCATCAGAAATCTTGAATCAATAATGATGCGCGAATAAAATGCATCAAACGAAAAATCCAACTGAAAACGAACAAATTACTTGAACAGAAAACGATTTACAACTAACAGCTATATGCGGATAAGCGTGTCAAGGTGAGAAGCTTAATGGACAGTTTCCACTTTTCACTATTCATGAGCAAACTACAATAGACGCGGGATGTGGCCGATGCAAAGTACAACAAGGTTATCTCAGGATTAGAATAATTTACCTCAGAAGTTTTAAGAAAATTTGATTTAAAAACCCCCAAACTATTCATTACACATTTTTTTCTCACCATTGGTTGCCCAAAAGAGATTTCTGCTTAATAAGCCGCCATTTGTGTACGTTCTTCTTCCTTCTGTAAGCTGTGTTATATTGGATGGAATAAAGAGTCTTAATATTATTATAACTCCTGATGATACTCTGTATAGAGTTAAAAAACGTTAAGAATAATAAGACAGTGGCGGTTGCGAGATTTGCTGCTGTGTTTCTGCATGTATATTTTGCTGGTACTGATGCGGCAGTTGCTAAAGCTAAATATCCCATATAGCCTTACAGTTCACAGTTACAAATTTTAAGTATATTTATTAGATATTATAAAATAGTCTTCACAGTGGTGAGCACGCGTCTGGCCTATACATACCTTCAAGGAATCTGGCCTATACATACCTTCGTGATATGATTATCATTTAAATTTTAGAACGACAAGGATTATGTTATACTATTTTAATGTCTATGTTTGTAATTATTACATTTGATCAATTTTGCACTCAAAATGCTATACTGAAAAATGTTTTTAATGAAAAAAGTAAAATTTTAAGAATTTTTCAATAAGAATACTTTTTAAAGTGTGCATGATTATTTTTGGCTAAGTTACGATATATTAGCGTGATAATGCGTATCAATATATAAAAACCATTACTGTTTACGTAATTTAAAGTTAGATTCAATATTACTGAAAGCCGTCATTAAATTCCAATGGTTGTGCTTGCCGCGTCAATTTTTGTAGAATCCAATCTATTCAAACTGAATTCAAACCATTCAAGTTCATCGCACATTGGTCGGTCACGCGAAATGGATGTCGCATTAGTTGCTTTCAGTCATGAACCTAAAAGGAATTCTTCAAATGAGAACCGAATAAAATATTTAAATTTTCGCTCATAAATATTTTTCATTCCATTATATATTTTTAATGTAGTAATCTAAATTCTTCATCATTATCATCATCAACCTTTTTACGTCCCCACTGAAGGGGCTCAGGCCTTCCTTATGGGTGGTTCAGGAGGATGGGCCATAATCCTCAACGCGAGCGCAGGCCCAATGCGGATCGGAGGGCGAGCCACCGAGCTACACCAATCTAAACTCGATTTGTTTTAAAAATCAAGAACAAATCAATATCTTTAAAGTCGGTGTTGGCGTCATTTGAATAATAAAACTATCTTTAGCCATAGAAAATAAAAGTGTTAGAAAAATATCAACCTCGTGCAAAATGTTTTTTTTTCTAGCTATTGTTCTTGTCATAGCATTTAATGTTCTACTTTATTGAAATTATGTGAAATATAACTTGATAACTATATTATAAAAATAAAAGTTATTTATGTTTATTACAGTAGTTGAGTATTTTTAATTTATCATTCATTCGATATTTAAATAATACATATATTTAATGTATCCAATGTTACTGGAAGAAGCACACATAACCTAAATTATACTTTCAATAACTTACTTGCCAGACAACCCGACCGGCTTACGAAACGACCGTTGGTCATATAGAAAGAATGGAGACGTTACATAACCAGATATTCGGATACTTACTAGTTTTCCGGTTGGCCACTAATATATTCTATGCCATAAATGTTCAACAAGTTACTTTTTGGCCAAGAGCGACAGCATAACCGCCATTGAATCTTCATATAAAAGGTACTAATGCAAAATCATTTGCAGAATGCAAGTATAGAACATAATAGAATATTTCATTGCGCTAAATGTTTTCCAGTGATAACAATGTGACCAGACCAGTTCGAGAGCAGAAACAACCAACTGCAAATCCTCATAACAAAAGTTTGTCTTCATGAGAAAATGATAAAACAATTGAATATTACAGTATTCAAATAAGATAGAAATTATACAGGCGATGAGTCATTTGAATGTGTCGTCATCAGAGCTCATACAAACTCACCCTCGAACATTATACAGTCATATTTCCTATTTCTTGAAAACTGTTACAAAGTACAGATAAATAAAAAATTGGAATACAACAAACTGGAACAACCTCGAACGCCTTATTACGTTGTTTTGAAACTTTCCAACAAATATTTCGAAAGGTTTTAAACTTTTAACATTGTAACCTTTTCATTCAATAAAATACTGTCAATCAACCTCG